CAGCCAACTCATCAGACCGTTTGGAAAGTAGTTTGTTATCTTTGGGAGTGAGAAGATTCATGGCCACCACCGCAGCGGTCATATCATTCTTCATCACAGAGTCCCCAACGGTAAGATGACCAGTAGGGGATAAGAAAGATGGACGTTATATGTTGTCTTAAGAAGGCATGGCTGTCTCTTCATCAAAGTTCAAGTCAAAACGACGGTCGGATAGGCCAGACATTCTCAGAAATGATGAAGGAGAAATGAGGTGCAATAAATCTCTGAAGTACAAAAATAAAGGGAAAATTCCTGCAAGCAATAACTCTCTGAACGTACTTCTTGCACACAATTGGTGCCCCTATAAAAGAAAGGGCAACATGGTCGTTGGTTCAAAAATCGAAGAGGCACCACTCTCTGGATTTCGAGAAGCAGATTTTTTTGAATAAAATATGTCGACAATCCCCACACGTAACATCAGCTCCTCGGGTACCACAAATAACTTTGCCAAAGATCTCTGACAAAGTTTAGACACATAAATTTTGAAGGTCCAGCTACCCTACCATTACCCACAAGGGTAAACACCACTGTTTGATAACTAGAAAGTCCATGTGTGTGTCAACCTCTGTGCTCTGTGGCAAGGCAGACTGGAAAAAATGCCCAACCTTTACTCACATCGAGAAAACACTCCCAACAGGTTACTGGCTAAAAAATCAAAGAGGCACCACTCCCCGACTCTAGAGAGCTAGACTCACAACAGAATTGCTTTCTCAAAAATTGAAGAGGCATTGCTATCTGACTCTCGAGAGCTAGACTCACAACATGATTGCTTTTTCAAAAATCGAAAAGGCATCACTCTCCGAATCTCAAGAGCCAGACTCTCAACGGGATTGCTTTCTCAAAAATAGAAGAAGCACCGCTCTCCGAATCTCGAAAGCCAGATTCCCAACAGGATTGCTTTCTCAAAAATTGAAGAGGCACCGTTCTCCAAATTTCGAAAGCCAGGTCCCCGACAGGATTGCTTGTTCGAAAATCGAAGAGGTATCGCTTTCTGAACTTTGAGAGCCAGATTTCCTTGGATAAAGCTTATATGCAATCTTCACACACAACATCAGCTTTCCAGATACCACAGACTACTTTTTCAAAGTGCTTTGACAAAATTAAAACACGTGAATCTTGCAGCTCCCACTACATTGCTATAACCGAGAATGGTAAAAGAACAACGTTATTACTCGCTGTTGGGACAATTCCTATATATGTCGACCTTCATCCTCCACAGCCAGGCAAACCTACAAATAAAAAAAAATGCTCAACTTTTCTTCACATCCGAGATGGCACTCTTAGCAAAGCTTATTTTCCCCCCGATAATACCTCTGCAAACAAGCAACACCAGAGCCAGAGTATTTTATATCATCAGGGTTAAAAGCAAGAGTATCCTATATCATGCTTTTTCCTTGTCTTTTCCTTTGGCCTTGTTCTTACTTGCAATATAATGAGAATGAGAGCAATCAATCAGCACTTGGAATCAAGCTTCTAGTCAGGAACTGACTACCTGAAACTCCTTGCCTGATTACTTACCTGGCATTGCTCTCGAGTACTCATCTTTAACATCTTATGCTTCTAGAAAAGATACCACATTTACCTGAAGAACATATAGGGCAAGTGATAAGGATACAAGGAAGCATGTGGAGACAAGCGCAACAGAACACGTGCCGATTCATCTATTACTTTGTCAACAGCAAAAGTATCTCATATCATCAAGGTTGAACACACTCTTGATTTGATGGACTTGTTTTGACCCTCAAATTCTTGAGTCGACCTTATACAGGAAACCAGAAAACCCTCAAGCCTAGTTCAAGAATAAGCCTGTGGAAAATTACTTAGTCAAAAGCAAAAGTATCTCATATCATCTCTTTTCCTTTTTCTTCTCTTTATCCTTCCTGCTGCCTGCAAGGTAGGGAGAATGAGAACAATCAGCCGGAACTCGAAATCAAACTTCTGATCTGGGACTGATTGTTGGGAGCTCTGATTGCTTACCTTATCTGTCACCTCTTTCGGCGGATCTCCTAGCTCGGCGACTTGGGGGACTCCTATTACTTGGTTTGTATCGCGCTTGACCAAGCCTGAAACTACAAGCAAGCTTCACGTGAAATTGATATATTACCTTGTGCATCTCCACCGGTTAAAGATACCACCCCTGGATGGAGGAAAAGTACTTTCAGAGAAGATGCCACATCTACATATGAGATAGATAAGGCAAGTGAAAACAATACCACACTTCAGTACTTAGAAGTTTTGTGATTATTCAACGGCTTGGATCTTGCAAGTCCCCAACCGAGGAGCTTCCCTTACTTGGGAACTTAGGGGAGCATCGTTTGTACCATGCTTGACTAATCCCGAAACTACTGAGCATCGGTCAACGTTATACCGTCAAGGACCTAGAAGAGTTTCATTCCAACCAAGAGGCCAATCATAGTGCGACACGTGTCGACATCAGAAGCCAATCACAGCGCGACACGTATCAACATCAGAAGCCAATCACAACACGACATGTGTCAATGTCAGAACAAAGCTAGAAACTCTTCTATAAAAGAGATCATTCTCCCACAATATTTCCTAATGTCATTTGTACTAAATCATTCACTAGTACTCACTAAAGGAGAGCTTGAACTTATGTACTTGTGTAAACCCTTCACAATTAATGAGAACTCCTCTACTCCGTGGACGTAGCCAATCTGGGTGAACCACGTACATCTTGTGTTTGCTTTCCCTGTCCCTATCCATTTACATACTTATCCACACTAGTGGCTGGAACAATCTAGCGAAGGTCACAAACTTAACATTTTCTGTTGTACCAAAGTCCTCACTGATTTTGTGCATCAACAGAGTTAACTAAAAAAAAAAAATCTTAATTACACTATGTTTGGATAAGAAAAATAAACTTGAAATTTCGATAAAAATCTAAATTTATAAATTAACATGCACCAATTCATTTGTTTAGATTCATAAACATAGAAATTCAAAATTTTCACGTGGAAAAAAATCTTGGAATTTGGAACCTCCAATTCCCAAGTTTAAGTTTCATGTAAATATGTGTCAGTTCTAAATTTTCATGAGTGAGGGTTTAAAAATAACAAATTCTAGTTTAAATTCCATTGTTCTTTTAGGTTAACCAAATAAGAAAATTTATATATTCTAGAAAATAAAATTCCGTCATTTTAAAATTCTTTAGTAACCTTATATTTCCTCATCCAAACAGAGTAATTTTAATTCCAATTATAAGTACCAAGTTAAGTAAATCAGTGCTTAAAAATCTTGAACAAAAACTGCTACTAATCCTTTAATAGACAAGTATTATTTTGAAAAAGATAAACAATTTAGTTAATCAGTTCTCCAAACTGAGATTCGTATTTGCTTCCATCAAATGATCCAATACAACTTTACAAAGAGATGAGGCGTTTGCACTTGAAGAGCTAAGAGTAGTTCCACCGGAACACCATTAGGCTGGCACCCAGTAAAAAAAAAGGGCTGGGACTCAATCAATCCACTCCAGCCCGTTCAATTGGCTGGCATCCAGCCCAAGCTGGTCTCTAGACCAGCCTAGAATTGACAGAGCCAAGTACCGGGCTATTAGCGTGCTTTTTTTGGGAATGGCGTCGAGGAAACGCAAGATGACTGAGCAAGAAGAAAAACAGCTGGTGGCGCCGGCGAAATCAAGCTGGTGACCCGTTGCCCGACGCCCTCATCTTCGCCTTCCTCCTTCTCCTCACCTACTCAATCTTCATCGGCATCGTCGACATCCGCTCTTACTTCCTCCCGCTCTTCCTCTCATTGCCGCCTTCGGTTGTCCGGTCCCTCAATGCCACCACTTCCCCGCCTCTCAAGGTCTACATGCACGATCTCCCATGCCGCTTTAACGTCAAAATTATGAACCGCCGGAGTGAGCTGGAAAAGAGAGAGAGAGAGAAACAAAGAGAACTGGTTGAGGATGTAGAGGTGAGAGTATAGAGGGTAGTGGAACCTGAAAGCCACCTACCTTTCGAAGGAAAGAGAGCGCAGATTCGAGTCCATGAGAAGTGAAGGATGACAGAGCGAGAGAGACGAGGCGGCGAGAGGGATGTGAGAAACCAGAGAGAGAAAAGCATGATAGATTGAGAGAGAAGAGGTTCCTGACTTCTTTATTTTTTTTATATATATAAAATTATTATTTTTATTATTTTATAATAAAAAATAATAATATTTTAATAAAATTGACTAGGCTATTTTTTGTTAGGGGTGAAGATGCTTTGACCTATTAATATTAACTAGGGTCTATTACTGTTCACTTGAGTGGATAAATGCGCTGGGTGCTGGCGCAAAGTATTTAGGAGTGGACTTGCTCTAAGGAGAGTACTAGTAGGCAGTAGTCAGTAGCAGTAGAGTGGATTCCTCCCTCCTTATGAATCAGAATCACTGTTAAAGCATGTTTTTATATCTAAATTCTAATAGGTTGAATGAATATACAAACAAATTATCTCTTTTAAGGGCAAAACTAGCGCGTCCGCCACGAGATATCAATCTACCCCAAAGTTTGAACACTTCATCCTCCCCTAGTTATTACATGTTTAAATTGAGTAAATTGTAGTAATGGTCTCTTAATTTTAATTCAATTGGAGCAATAGTCTTTCAATTAAAAATTCATTATCGTTGGTCTCTCAACTCATCAAAACGTGCCGCTATGGTCCCTCAACTAAAAATTCATTACCATTGATCCCTCAACTTTAATTTAACTGAAGAAATGATCCCTCAACTTTAACCTAATTGGAACAATGGTTTTTCAACTTTAACTCGATTGTAGCAATAATTATTCCAACGTAACCCATTTTGACAAAATTTTGACAAAGTTGATGAAAATAACCATAACTACACATTTTGATGAATTAAGAGATCCTAATTGTAACAATGGTCATTCCAACATAACTTAGTTTGACAAAAAATTTATGAAATTGACGAAAATGACCATAGTTATACATTTTGATGAGTTGAGGGACCAATGGTAATGAATTTTTAGTTGAGAGATCATTACTTCAATTTGATTAAAATTAAGGAACCATTGCTACAATTTACTTGTTAAAATTTAATCAAAATAATTTATGAGCCCTTTAAAAACCCATCCCACTTGACAACGTCTCCCCTCCTTGGCCAAACTGATAATGCTCATATACTTCGAGTAAGAGCTCCCTGCACGGCACAACCGCCCCAAGCTTGATGCAAGCCAAAAAGGCACCCGAAAGCTTGCGGTGAAGGCTGTACGCCTCGTCAGGTGGTGGAGTCACCCTGTGTCTCAGCATCGTTGCCCCAAGGTTTGAAACACTCTGAGTGATGTTTGATGCACGGAAGTCATACCCACCAGGCTTCGCAAATGGCAATCCCACAACAAACCCGGCTTGAACATGCGTTTCTAACATTATTTCTGACTCCGTTCCTGAGATGAATCCAAGTCTCCTAGACATTTCTAGGACTGTATCTCTATCACCATTTGCACAGGCAAGAACCTGATCAGTCACATATGAAATGCAAAGTCCTCAGCAACTTGCAGCTCAGTCTAAAACGTTTTAAATAACAAACAAACAACTAATACTCAACCACAAAACTCAGTAAAATATAGAGAGCAAGGAGATTTCACCATTCTTAGATAATCATCAACAAAACTCTTTGGGTAATCCCTAGCTGCTCCAAAGTCGATCAGATTGATTGATTTCTTAGCCTCATCGTACAAGAAATTACTCCAATTGGGATCAGTCTGTATTCCATAAGGCACAATTAAAGCAAGTTGAGCTGCAAGCCTAAAACTAGGAAGAATGCATGACTTACAAAATCTCAGAATGTTAATTCCTATACGCATAGCGTAGAAAAAAATATAAGACAGAAACCATACAATAAAGTTCACAAGATGAATAACGCTGGATCAGTTGTCCAGCAAAATGGATATCACTGAATTTTGATATGTTAAATGAACTAAATATCTTTCATACATAGGAACTGGACTAGACCATAGGTCTTGCTTAACTTAGCTACCTTAAATCTGCAGCTGGAGATTAAAACTCAGCATATGTGCTAGCTTCTAAACTGGGGCCCATCACCAAACCCTACAATCTTTAGGGGCAAGAAAGCACTAGCAAGTGCTGCATAAGTACTTCAACCCAAGACCACATAGGGCAAACCTAAGTGCCTCAACCACTCCCATTGAGCCTCCGTTGGTTCCTTTACTTATTTCTTTTCCAATGGAAGCACTCATAAATCATTGCCAGCCTATTCTTTCTTCTAAAGCTCGTCTTTCTTAAAATTTCTGCCATCTTCAGCCCACCATAATCATAGGGACACTTACTTTGTGTTGTGCACTTGTGCTACATCAACTTTACATCAAACTACTGGCTATTGCTGCTAAAAAATATTGTTACGCTGTGTCCCTTACAAATAAACTTGGTGGGATTGCTAGTAGGAGACATACTTTAAGTTGACTAATAAAATGAAAAAAAACCTCGATGGATGGAAAAATACTAAGACATCAACTTCATTGTTGAGAGTAAGTTATTCTTAAGGTTGTGCAAAGTGAATGCTTATAAAAATAACGTAAGAAAAGCAAAGCAAAGATTAAAATAAAACGCTACGTATGCTTGCATTGGTGAAGAGATATAACACAGAACATGCCTGCATGAAACGAAAAACAAATAACTCCTTCAAAGTGAGCTCTAGCAACTTTCTGCCAACACAGTTGCGAGTCTCCTGGTTTAAGAGTGCCACTTTGTCAATAGGTATTCCTGCAGCAAGAGAAAGCAATATCATGTTCAAAGATGTATCAAGTTATCAACACAAATTCTCTATTGATGATACAACCAATGCTACAATGAAAGCTCCATTTTAATGATAACAATAGGAAAAACCTAGAAAAGACAGCTAAGTTAAGTGATATATACGACAGAAAAAAATATCATTAGAGCTGGTTAATTATTTTTTATCATTACCATTTTATGCGTGCTTCAAATTGCAGCAATGCAACTTTCAACGTATAAAATTCTGAATCCGTGTAACTTAAGATTGAAGGGAAATCTCTAACCAAAAACAAAAGGGTCTAAGGAAATGTTGCAACTCATTTCCAGAAGTTATAAGCAGTCCGTAATTACATTCATGTATGATAGAAGATGACTTGTGCATATGGAGCATGAAAAGAATATGACATCATCCAATTAGTAGCTTGCTTTTCAATATCATCCCTTGATTCATAAGCTTAATTAGTTACACACACAATTTTGATATAAATTCCGATTGCTGTACTAGTAGAAAATAAAAGGTGGTCTCTCGACCAGTATTTGTGTGCCCACAACATGTTGTACAGTTCAATATTACAAAACAAATCTTGAAATATACACTGCTTCTTCAAGTAAGTGTGTTTGAAGATTAACTAATCAGCTTTGGATTTTGTCCATGAGAAAGTCCCAAAACAAAGCAAAACATGTTGGGAATCAGTTCTTTAAATTCTCATCATCGAGAAATCACCCCAAGCAACAACATAAGTTTTTCAGGGTAAAAATCACTATATCATAGTTTAAACAATGTAATAGCATAATTGGCATAGTTTACTTGCCGGAAACAAGCTCAGTAGTTAAGACTCTTTTGCTCGATATATCATCCACTACCAATGGAACATAAAATCCTTGTGCATTGGATAGCAAGTCACGAAACCTTTTTTGACTTTGTGCCTCCAACACATAGTTGCATTCACGGGATAATTCTTCTTTTGCCACCTAAAAAGGATTCCAAGGAAGAATATAAGCATGCATTTTGAAAATTTTAAGATATCTCATCATCTTCTGAGTTTGAAATCATCCTCCACAATTCCATCTCATCCCGATACATTCCACATGGAATCAAGTTCTGAAGTCATGAGCATAAGGGAATGATCAATGAGGATTAGATACGCATCCACACTAAAGAAAGAGTAGTATAATGGCCAAATTCGTAAGTGAAGCAATTAGTAAAATTAGGCTCACCTATAATATTCCTAATATACAATGTAAGTCATACAGATGCAATAACCAAGGGCATACAAAATAAAAATACCTTCATAGCTCTTTCAAGATAAAGTCCCTTGGGGATTAGATTTGTATAATCTAGAAGAAGTTTGACGTTGTCAATGTCACTTTCAATGCTATCAGCAACACCAGGGTACTGAATTTTCATTGCAACATCCATACCATCCTTTGTGACAGCTCGATGAACCTAAAAATGCTATAGATGGTAAGACAAACTGTCTGAACAAAGTAAAATACATGACAAATTTTATTACAGAAATCTATCAAGAGATGCAGAAGTTCATGTTGGATTATGATCGTGCTCTTAGGCACAAAGTTGGCATTACAAGTACACTGATGGCCAGCATGCAGAGTCTTTAGAGTATGTGGTTAATTTTCTAATACACGGCAATTTGGATGCCCCAGAGGTTGTACATATACAGTGGGTAGGTGTGAGTGAGTGAGTGTCTGTAACAGGTAACAAGTAACAAGAAACAAGCAGTATTGTATCTGTCACTGTCACCTGGCCTATACTTGCAGATGCCAAAGGTTCATAATCAAAACTAAAAAGCTTAGATTGCCAGTCAGGTCCTAGTTCAGCATCCAAAACTTGATTAAGCTGTTTCCTGGGCATGACGTCTGCACCTTGACGGACAATATCGAGAGCTGCCAAGATCTAGAAGAAAATGAATATAAAAGACATTAAGAAACTGAAAACATGCAATGCAATGCAATGTGCTGTAATGCATATGAATTTTATTTAAAAAAGAAAGAGAGAAGTAGAATGTTACGGGAGCAGGGACGAGGGATTCGTCCTGTATACTGAGCATCTGTCCCAATTTGAGGGCAGCTCCACGCATTCTACAGAGTGCGAGAGCCAAACGTTCTGCATTTTGGGGGGACAAAAATGGAGAAAGAGGAGATTGCTTGTCTGATGAGGTTGGTGTACCATAAACGAGCCTCTTAGTAGACTCCTGAATGGTTCCCCACGCGAGCCCAGCTCCGAGACCAGCAAACCTTTTTAAATTATCAATCACAATCACAAATCACATACATTTTCATGATATCATTCATATGGAAAAGCAATCATTCATAAGGAAACTAAAAAAGAGAAGAGTAGAAACCCGAGTGCTCTGGAGAAGGGGGTGGAAGGAACTCGTCTCTCTCTGGGCTTCCGCCTCTGCAGTGGCTGAGGTTGTGGCTCTTGTTCCACCAAATTCTCCTTCTTGGCGGAATCAAGGACCTCCACTGTGGTGGATTGATGTTCTTCTTGTTGTTGCACTGGTTGCTGCAACTGTTGTTGATTGTGTTCTTCTTGTTCATGCTCCGCCGCAGGAGCAGACGAAGGAGGAGGAGGTGCTGGTGCTGCTTCAGCTTCAACTTGTTCATGTGTGAAGTATACGACGGAATCTTGGCCTCTGGTATTCGTATTGGAATTGGAGTCATTAGTACCAATGGGGTGGTTGTTGGTGAATTGGGAGAGGGTGCCTTTGGTCAGACCGGAGAGGTCGGTGGCGGACACAATGGCTTTCTTGATTAGGGCTTCCAAATCGCCATTTTTGGCGCTCTGCAAAGTGGGAGATCGATTCGCCAACTCCTTGGCGATTAGAGACATCCCTTTCACCACTCTCCCTACGTCCTTCCCCCACTTTCCCCATGATACCATTGCTCTCTTCTTTTTTTCTCTCTGATTGTTTCTAATTCAATTCGATTCTACACACAAAATAATAAAATGTATATTTGATTTGCTGCTCAAAGTTCAAACCTCGAAGCCGCCTCCAATTTAAAGTCTCAACCACCAATTGTGCAATTTCTGACCAAAAGAAAGATTAACCACTAAATATTAATAGAGGTGTGATATCCACACATCATTTTTACTTCTTTCATATTTTTTTGGTTTTCAGCTGTCGGATCAGATGAATTGAAGAAGATCAACGGATAAAAATTAACAAGGTGTTTGGATCAAAACTTGAACTTTGGGCTCAAGAAAGGAGCTGGCCCAAAAGGAGGCCCGAAGGGAAAGACAGTCGAAGCCCAGTTAAAGCCCAGAAGGCAGAAAAGGCCTTTTCTGACTTGGTGCAGCTCATGAAGACCACTTGCTTACCTACCCAAAGGCCAAGTGGTATAGACTAACCAGCTACACAGCCCATAAAGTACTTTATGATGGCAGTACATGTAAAATAGCTGATGAGTCATCACCCTTCAAACTGCATTCGAGCAAGGTTGCTGCTACAGGAGACCAAGCCGAGTTGTCTATATAAGAAGAAAGAGAAACCAGGAATAAGGACACTCAATCAAACAAACAAATGTAAGCATAAACTCTGCTCAAAGCCAGATTTGCCTTCAAAACGAAGCTGTAGTCAGCCCAAGCATTCATCCATCTCGGGACAAGCCTTCATCCCTCGAGGGATAAACCTTCACTCAAACCCTTGTAATAGCTCTGCTACCTTGTTCAACCTTGCTGTAGTATCGATTCATCTTTTGTAAATCTCTCTCCCTCCCTGAAACTTTCATACCCTTGATAAACCACAAAGATAGAAACCTGCAAGACGACCAAGCTTGCCCGACAAGCCTTGCCCGAAGAGCCTTGCCCGAAGAGCCTTGCCCGACGAGACTTGCCCGACAAAGCCTGACAGTGAAGCAGAAGCCCGACAGCAGCCCTCAACCGGCGCCAACCTCCCAGGGAGCTGTGTGCTCGTCGGCCAGGAAACATCCCCGACGGAAATTCCTGACGCGAACATAGTTTTGGCACGCCCGGTGGGATCACATTGGATCAGAAGATATATGTCAAAATGCTAGAAGATTTGCAAACCACGTTACTACAAATGTTACAAAGATTGGAGAAAGCTTCCACATGCTCTAGAAAAGAAACAGACCTGGTTCATCCAGAGGCAAAGAGACTTAAAACCAGCTCGCCTGAAGAGTTGGTGGTAGACAAACCTGCAGTTCCCTTTTCAGAAGCCCCTGTAAATATGATCAATATGGCATGGGTTGAAAAGGGAAAAGAAAGAATCACAAGGGAACCAGAGGAAGAAAGATTGGCTGAAAAACCTAGTGGAGGGGTGATTAAATCGCCCGAATATCCAAAAGCAGCCATAATCAAGGGGATGGTTATGTGTAGTAAGTGCCAATGCGAGTGTGAGCTCGAAATTCCGCCGGCTGGAATCCTCATTGATCATGAACTGATCAGGAGGAAGGAAGAAGATGAAAGGAGGAGAGCCCATGAAATGATCAAGCAGGCTACGAAAAAAGACACTTCCCGAAGCGTTTTTCAACGATTAGGAGGTGATTCCTAACCCAAAGCTTTGTCAGAAGTATTTTGAAACCATGAGGCTTCTGAAGAGGCAGAAGATATGAAGGCCAAAATACGGAGGGGTACAGATCATACAGATCATCCTCAATATGGCCAGATGGGAAGGGAAATCAAAAGGATGGATGGGATAACAAATCCTGTCATAAAAGAAAAACCTACCTACCTCGGGCGAAAATGGTACGTAGTCGGAAAGAACGGACAGCCTACCAAACAAATGGGAGCCTCCATGGTCAGGAGAGTTCAAAGGCAGCGCAAAGCCTACATGAATTCCCTGAAGACCCCTGCAACATCCGAAGCCTCCAAAAATAAAAAATTGGAGAAAACATCATCTGGGGGAAATAGTAAGCTCTGCTGGAGAAGTAAGAAAGAGGTGGAAAAGGCCAATAGCAAGACGGAAGGCGAGGGGAATCACGTACCACAGAGCCAGCACCCTGGGAAGTATCGGATCTTGAGGAGAGCTCAAGAAGATCTGGTCATGGTGCCAACCCCCGGGTGGAAGCCAGAGCCTATTTGCGGTGGAGCTGTTTCATCTGAAAGAAGACCACTTTCTCTGCCCTTGGTGGATCCTTTTGGTGAAGTTCCAAGGCAAACGCTGTATGCGGGCATGAATCAACAGGAGTGGGCACCAGAACCACTACTTCCAGCCGATGCAATGGCCTGGTTGGACGAATTCATGGACCAAATTGGGGGCAATAAAGAAGATCTGCCCGAGCCTAGTAATTTTCATATCAACATGGCGTATGTATTATCCGCCATGTTTGGTGCCAGACCTGATAAGCCCGCTACTATGGAAGATGATTACTTGACAACTGAGCCAATGATGGCACATGTTAATGTGGAGGTAGTCGAAGAGGGAGAGTCGGGCAAGGCTGAATCCACTGAAGCGTCCAAAGATAGTCCTTTCAGGATTTACACAGACGAAATGGTGTTTAGCCGCCCGAACAGCTCGTTGGCCAATCATCTGAAGCCCATATATGTTGCTGCTCATTTGGAAGGTGTGCTCTTCAAAAGAATTCTAATTGATGGGGGAGCAGCTGTTAATGTGTTACCAGCCAAGCAAATGAGGAAAATGGGAAGAGGCACGAAGGATTTTATTCCCACAGACCTCACGGTCTCTAGCTTCTCAGGTGCTATCACCAAAACTCATGGGATATTGCCTTTAGAAGTGGATTTGGGATCTAAACAGATCATGCTGGCATTCTTTGTGGTGGACTGCACTTCCACTTATGGGGCCTTACTTGGAAGAGATTGGATCCATCAAAGCCTGGCCATACCCTCCACTCTTCATCAACAAATGGCTGTTTACCATGAAGCGGGCACAGAAGGACCGGGCTTTTGGGAGATGGTAGAGGCCGAATCACGGCCATTTCTCCCCACAGCTAATGTTGCAGAAGCAAGTTTCTACAACCCCAACGTAGGAATCTTGAAGTGTTCAGGAGCTGACGAGAACGGCCGCCTACCAAGGTGACGGCCCAAAAGCTTTTGGAACAAGGAATGCTCCTTACTAGAGAGGAGTGGGATAGACCTTGTATCCTCCCAAATTCCCTACACCATCAATGACTGAACAAAAGAAGAAAGATTAGGTAACGGCAGTCAGATCCCTGATTAAAAGACTGTTGGTATATGGGAAGGGAAGAAGACAAGAAAGGGAGCTCTTGGACAAAGAAGAGCAGAAATGGCAGGTGGGAACTTTAACCAGCTAGCATGAAAGCAAGGAGGAATCTTGCAGAGAAGAATTGGAAAGGGCTATTCAAATGGCCGAGTGCATTTATGACCTAGATGGGCCAGATGACTTGCCCGAGAGCCCGGAGTTGGTCGAATTTCTGTGTGCAGAACCTGATAAGCCACCACCAGAAGTCCAGGATCCTCTGGAAACTATTGATCTAGGAACAGAGGAGGATCCAAGACCAATACAAATTAATGGTTTATTGGGGGTTGATGATCGGGCGAAGATTATTTGTCTTTTGCAAGAGTTCAAAGACTGTTTTGCTTGGCATTATACTGAGATGCCAGGTTTAGATTCAGCCTTGGTGGAACATAGAATGCCCATCAAAGAGGGATACAAACCTGTTAAGCAAGCACCACGAAGGATGTCAAAGGAGATAGAAGAAAAGGTCAAAGAAGAGATTGAAAGGCTAGTAAAAGCTGGCTTTATCAGGCCAGCCAAGTATGTGGAGTGGTTAGCCAACATTGTACCCGTTTTAAAAGCTGTAACAAAAGCAGTATGATGTTGTGTGGATTATAGAAATATTAATGGCGCTACACCAAAAGATGAATATCCCATGCCCATGGCCGATTTATCCATAGATGCAGTAGTAAAACATAAAGTCCTATCTTTTATGGATGGGAATGCCGGGTATAATCAGATAAAGATGGCTCCAGAAGATATACACAAAACAGCTTTTAGGTGTCCCGGTCATGTGGGGGCATATGAATATCTGGTCATGCCATTCGGGCTCAAGAACGCTGGTGCAACTTACCAGAGGGCAATGAATGCCATCTTTCACGATCTGATTGGCCAGAGCATGGAGGTATACATCGATGACATAGTGGTGAAGTCCAAGACATAAGAACAACATCTGGAAGATCTCATACAGACATTAGCAAGGATGAGGATCCATAAATTGAAGATGAATCCAAAGAAGTGTGCGTTTAGAGTAAGGGCGGGCAACTTCTTGGGATTCCTGGTGCATCAAAGAGGTGTAGAAGTGGATAAGAACAAATCTTGGGCAATAATGGAGTCACCTTCACCCACCAACAAGGTGCAACTCCAGAGGTTACTAGGTAAAATTAACTTCTTGAGGAGATTCATTGCTAATTTCGCAGGCAAGATCCAACCGCTGACTCCTTTACTAAGATTAAAAGTTAAAGAGAACTTCGAATGGGGACCACCGCACCAACAGGCCTTTGACAACATCAAGGCCTATTTGACTTCTCCACCAGTGTTGGTGCCACCTCAAAGGGGAAAACCCTTGAAGCTGTATATTTCTGCTTCTGAAAAGTCAATTGGGAGTTTGCTAGCCCAAAATAATGAAGGCGGGAATGAGCAGGCAGTGTACTACCTCAGTAGAATTCTAACCGAGGTAGAGACAAGGTATTCCCCAGTAGAGAGATTATGCTTGGCTTTATATTTCACTGCCAGTAAATTAAGGCATTACATGTTACCTTGTCACGTGCACATCATCGCCAAGACAGATGTGATAAAGTACATGTTGTCAAAGCCAATGCTCACAGGAAGGATTGGGAAATGGATTCTAGCATTATCAGAATTCAGTTTTCAGTACGTACCCCAAAGGGCAGTCAAAGGCCAAGCAATTGCTCACTTCCTGGCCGAGCACCAAGAATCTCAAAGTGAGGTAATCAATATCCCAGGAAGCCTGGAGGTTACTAGCATTTGGATCTCGCCAAGAAAAGATATTTCGGGCAAAGAAGACTGGGTCCAGCAAGAGATAAGAAGAGTAG